GGATGTACTAGATTATAAAATAGAGGATACATAAGTGTATTAGTCTGTTTTTCCGCTGCTGATAAAAACATACCCAAGACTGGGAAATTTACAAAAGAAAGGTTTAATGGACTTACCAGTTCCACATGGCTGGAGAGGCCTCACAGTCATGGTACAAGGCAAGGAGGAGCAAGTCATGTCTTACATGGATGGCAGCAGGCAAAGAGAGAGCTTATCATGCATGGCAACTCCCGTTTTTTTGTTTTGAGACAAAGTCTCACTCTGTGGCCCAGGGTGGAGTGCAGTTGCGACATCTTGGCTCACTGCAGCCTCTGCCTTCCAAGTCTAAGGGATTTTCCTGCCTCAGCCTCCCAAATAGCTGGGATTATAGGTGTGCACCACCACACCCAGCTAATTTTTTTATCTTTAGTAGAGATAGGGTTTTACCATGTTGGCTAGGCTGGTCTTGAACTCCTGACCTCAGGTGAGCCTCCCAAAGTACTCGGATTACAGGCATGAGCCACCACACCCAGCTGAAACTCCCATTTTAAAAACCATTAGATCTCATAAGACTCACTATCACAAAAACAGCAGGGGAAAGACCCACCCTCATGATTCATTTTATCTCCCACCAGGTCCTTCCCACAACACATGGGAATTCAACATAAGGTTTGGGTGGGAACACAACAAAACCTTATCAGTAAGGGACAGAAAGGAGCAGGACACAATCAAATGATGTCAGCTGCTAACAGCCAGGAGAAGAGGGTTCCTTCTGTGTCACCTCCACATGTTTTTAAAGCCATGCATTTAAGTCACACACCCTAGCAGGCAGAATAAGTCTTCCCAAAGATGTCTATGTCCTACTCCTCAAAAGCTGTGAATATGTTAGCTGTGAATCTAACCTGTGAAATGAATTACATGACAAGGAGGAATTAAGGTTGCTGATAGAATTAAGGCTGCTAATCTGCTGACCTTTAAATAAAGATTAGCCAGGTGGGCCCAGTATAACAAGAGGGGTCTTTTAAAATGGAAAGAAGAGTCAGAGATTTTAAAATGCTGCATTGTTGCTAGCTTTGAAGATGAAGAGAACAAATCAAGGAATGTAGTAGGCAGGCTCCAGAGGCCAGAAAAGGTAAGAGACCATTTTCTCCTTGAGCTCCCAGAAGGAGCCACCCTTGCAGACTTCTTGCCTTGAGCCCAGTGACACCCATTTCAGACTTCAGAATTATACAACAATAAAGTTGTGGTTTGTTAAGCCACTGAGTTTGTGGTGACTTATTACAGCAATAATAGGAAAATGATACACACAGGGAGACCAAAATCTCCACTAACGAAGTTCCTAAAGATGATTTGTAGTTTATTAAATGTTTTTTTTTTCAAACACTGTATATCCCAAGAACTGTGCTGAATGCTAAAGGTTCAATGATAATAGCTCCTGCTCACAAGGAGCTCATAGTTGGTCAAACAGAGCCTGCTACCTAGCAGGTATTCCATATTCACTGAATGGGTGGATGAATATTTAGACGTATGGATCACCTATGAGGCTCTCCATGACCTGATGCCCTGCTACTTTTACTGGCACTGTCTTTTGTCTCTTCCTTCCTCATTTTTATTGCCCTTTGCTGTTCTTTGAACCCATTAAACTTGCTCCTGCCTCAGGGCCTTTGCACTTGCTGTTAACATCTTAGGATGTTCTTCTCCTAGATATCTGTACGTTTTGCTGCATGATTTGAGGTCTCTTCTCAATGCCATCTTGTCAGAGAGACCCTGTTTAACTGCACTATGTAAGACAGCACATCCCTCCCGACATGGCCGTATCACCTTCCAGATTCCTTGCCTGGTTTTATTTTTCTCCACAACTGTTTATCACTTATTCTTAAGGTAACTCTTCTGGCTAAGGGAGTGAGTGAGTCCTGAAATCCAGCCCACTCTCTATTCCCAAAGCTGTACTCTTTAGCAGGGGCCTGAGTCTGGCTGAAGGAAGAGGTTTTTCCAAATTCATACAATGTCGCTGCATACTCCCTAAGCTATGTGCCTTTTTGTAACTTGCAGAGACACCATATTGTTTGCTAGCAGCTCTGTTTTTCTTCACCTAGTAGACTATAAATTCCTGAAAAGCAAAATTATTATCTTATTTGTTCACCTTTGCTTTCCTATGGCTTAGAACATTATCTGGCATATAGCAGGTATTCAACAAATATTTTTGTCTGGGTGGATGGATAGATGTATGGAGATTGGAGAAACTTGCAAATAAACAGAAGTGCCAATACAACCTGAGAGTCATGAGATTGTGGACAGGATACGTCAGGAGCTCTGAAGCAAGGCATCTAACCCTCTCCTGAGAGACCACAAAAATGTGTTCCAAAGTTTATTTGGATTTCCTTGTCTTAAATTGCACAGTTCCTGGGGTTAGAATAGTTTGGAAATAATCACATTTGATTTGGAGTTGGAAGAGCCGAGAAACACCCTCCACACTGCTTCCTCTATGCAATTTCTGCAGTAGCAATGCTTGCCTCCTCTGCCTCCAGATCAGGGGAGGGAATGTGAATACACACAGTGGAAAAGCACTATCTACTTAAATTAGTGGGATTCCATTCCAGAGTTAGTGAACAAACCTAAAAGTGCATACACTACAACTAAAGTTTACATTTGGGGGACAGGGTTAAGACAGCAAGGAAAGAAAGTACCACAGAACTTCAAGAGTCTTCCAAGTTCTGGCTGGCAAGGTGGCTCACACCTGTAATCCAAGCACTTTGAGAGGTCAAGGCAGGCAGATCACCTGAAATCAGGAATTCGAGACCAGCCTGGCCAACATGGTGAAACCCCCATCTCTACTAAAAATGGAAAAATTAGCCAGGCATGGTGGCACATACGCCTGTAATCACAGCTACTGGGGAGGCGAAGACAGGAGAATCGCCTGAACCCAGGAGGTAGAGGTTGCAGTGAGCCAAGATTGCACCACTGCACTCCAGCCTGGGCCACAGAGTGAGACTGTCTCAAAAAAAAAAAAAAGTCTTCAAAGTTCTTTTATTTTGATTTATAATTTTTACAGATGCAGGCAACATGCTTCTGGTTAGAGCTAATGAAATGGAGGCCAAATCAGAGTGCTGACTTGAGGAATGGGAATTCAGTGCCTGTTCTGGTTCTATTTCCCTTCAAAATCATCAGCAAAAGCAAGTTTACAAAAGAGACATTACCTTTAATATACTTAGAAACAATCTCATAGCCATTTCCTACAGTGAAAGAACACTGAAACCTTTTAATTTGACGACCAACTTAACAAGGGTAAGTGAAATAAATATTGGAGAACAGGAAACAGGTTCTTCCTTTTTCCTCCCATACATGTTAAACGCTGTTCATACATAGAGTCACAAAAATCGTTTACCCCTTACAGAAACCTGGAACCAGAAGGAGCTTTAGAAAGCAAGTGGTACAAATACCTTCACTATACAGACAAAAACACTGGGGGTCATTGGCTGTAACTCAGCCCAGGCTACAGCGTCAAAACCAGAACCCTGACATTCTGAAATCAAGTTCATTGCTTTCATCATTGTTCCCTGCTAAGAGTTTTCTTAGGAAAAAGAATGAGGGGGGAATCTTTACAAAACTGTGACTACAGAGCTCCAAGGTACAGATTTAAATCTTGAGTTAACAGACCATACAGGTTTTACTTAAGAGATATTCAAGCGAACTCATTTAAATAACTCCTCCAATCTAACTCCAGAAAGGCTTTCTTGGAAGTCTTGGATCAGTGGCAATTAAACTTCCATCCTAGATCTGGAAAGAACAAACACCAAATGTAAATACCATCTTTCAAATTCTTAGTGTTCTCTTTGTCTCTCTACCTAGTCTGCTCTTTTCTGAAAACAACTGAGACACATTCACTCCAACTTGACTTGCTACAGGCCTCGTCGATGACAGGGTTCATAATAACATCCTTCAACATAGCACTGCAAGAGCTGGAGCTGCTTGTTTGGGTATGGCCACAGTTGCCTCTGCACCCTGTGTGGATGACACACTCTATGTATTCCAGACCAATGAAAGGGTAAGATATGGCCGCATAATTTAGGGCTAAGTGCTAAATGTGCCGGACTCCCTCGCAGAACAGCTAACCATTAGCAGATCTAGTAGTCAATTTCTTACCCCACTCACTTCTTGCAATCCGCTTTCCTAACCATGCCTAGCTCCAGTCTTACTGGGTAACACAGACGGTGCAAGCACAGCCAACAGCCATATCTGAGCCTTTCCTCTGGGGTCCAGAGAACCAGAACTCCCGAGCTGCTGTGGGGGTGCACCGTAGCTGGGGATCGTCGCCGAATCAGCCCGCATACCTCCCAGCTTTTTTTTTTTTTTTTTTTTTTTTGAGACGGAGTTTCGCTCTTGTTACCCAGGCTGGAGTGCAATGGCACTATCTCGGCTCACCACAACCTCCGCCTCCTGGGTTCAAGCAATTCTCCTGCCTCAGCCTCCTGAGTAGCTGGGACTACAGGCGCGCGCCACCATGCCCAGCTAATTTTTGTATTTTTAGTAGAAACGGTGTTTCACCTTGTTGACCAGGATGGTCTCGATCTCTTGACCTCGTGATCCACTCGCCTAGGCCTCCCAAAGTGCTGGGATTATAGGCCTGAGCCACCGCGCCCGCCCGGCCACCTCGCAGCTTTAAACAGGTAGGGTCCTGGGGCCTGGCGCTCCCTTCCATCGTTGGACGGAATGTTACCATCTCTTCTTGCGCCTTCACCTCGGAGCAGTAAGGTCTCGTGAGATACAATATGCCGACGCCAGTTGTGGGGCGAGCCCGAGGCCTTGCGGGGACGGGAAAGTGGGGGGTGCGGTAAGAACTGCGCTATGCCAGAGCGGACTGGGATTCTCCGAAGCGGAAGTGCCCCTAGGCGCCAGAGCTTTAGGCGCTCCCAGCAGCCAAGGAGAATTCCGTTCCCGTGGCAACGTTATTGTCTCCAGGTTCCAGCCGGTACCTGGGCTGCGGAAGCTAACGGGGGACCTCCCGGGCTGTGTAGTCTCCGCGAGGCACAGCTGTGGCTCCCGGAAAGAGGTCGGCCAGGGTCAGGAGGTCGACGCAGCCCGAGGAAGCCGCGCAACCAGGCTGAGGGAGCGGGGAGGCTGGTTCCGGGGCCTGGCTTCCCCGCCCTGGGCCAGGTGCGCCGCCTGCGCTCGCGCGTCCTCTTAGAGCGTCTGCGGTGGGGGTACCGCTGTAGGGAAGGAGCCCAGGGCAGCGCTGAGCAGAGCGCAGCCGGCAGCGACAGGGCTTACGGAGTTACCGCGGAACCGCTGCGGGAAGAGAGTAGCGATTTGTACTTGAGACTGGGGCCAGAGTTTGGTGTTCAGCGCCAGGCGGAACGTCATAGGAACAGAGTCCGGGAGTTTGAGAGATCAGAACTCCTTGCTTTGGGCATATTGTTGAAAGTGGAGGTTAAAAAGAGAAATTAGTGAGTCGCCCCTTCTGATTTTCAGATAGGGGATGATCTGGAGCCTGGGTCAGAAAGCTACTCAGGGCTTGGCAGGAATGAGTGATTCTGGAGGGTGAAAAGAGAGGCGACTTGGATGTTAACGTTCAACAAATAACTGCTTTCGATTGGGATTCGATTTAAGCGACTGGCATAGCCTTACTTGAGGGTCGAATTTCACAAATACTGTATTTAGAAATCACGTTTTTCGTCATGTGCTTCAGAGGTTTCCCCTATCATCTAACAACCACAAACAAAATAGACACATGAATTTTATTTATTATTTTATTTTGGGGCGGAGTCTCGCTCTGTCGCCCAGGCTGGAGTGCAGTGGCGCGATCTTGCAGGCTCACTGCAACCTCCGCCTCGCAGGTTCTATTCTCCTACCTCAGCCTCGAGTAGCTGGAACTACAAGCACCCACCACCACGCCCAGCTAATTTTTGTATTTTTCGTAGAGACAGGGTTTCACCATATTAGCCAGGCTGGTCTTGAACTCCTGACCTCAGATGATCCACCTGACTTCCCACAGTGCTGAGATTACAGGCGTGAGCCACCGTGCCCGCCTCGTTAATTTTAACCCCTTTACTAGAAGCTGCTATTAATTAGTGAAATGGCTCCAGGGAAAAGAGCAAAATTAACCAATTGGCTGTGCTTCGTTTATTACCGAGAACTTGTTTCTTTGCTTAAATATGTCTTGCCCTCAGACCTGCCAAAATAGTATCTGAGTTGAGTAGGTGACCATAGTTTCACTGACCCATGAGCTGTAAATATGCTTGCTTTGAGACATAAAGGCCAGGGATTTTGGAGAAGTAGGGTAGAGTTGAAATCAGGGGAAAGAAATTAACTTAGACATTTAATTTGGCAAATGTCTTTAATTTCTGTTTTCCAGCGGTCTCCATATCTGAGTATGTGTAGTCTGTGGATTTAGGATGGGTTATATATTTGAGTAGTTTAATGTTAATGTCTAATGTTAATAGCATCTCAGAGGGGGAAAACAGAACAGACACCGAGCCTTTTCTCCCAAAGCTGACCTTATCTGATTCTTATAGGAAGAAGATGCGAGCCAGCCCCATCCGTATCCCAACTGTTAGCAATGATATTGACTGGGATTTCTGCTTCCGTTCGTAAGTATTACAGAATTTTGACATCAGAGGTACTCACTGGGCTGAAACACTAGACCTCCTGCTTAAGGCAAGCCTGGTTGAGGAGCTTTGCATGAACATTATATAAAAGAGAAGGGTTTACGACCACCAGGCCAACATGGTGAAACCTAGTCTCTACTGAAAATACAGAAATTATTCATACGGTAATGGAGCACCTTTAATCCCAGCTACTGGGAAGGCTGAGGCAGGAGAATCGCTTGAATCCAGGAGGGGAAGGTTGAGACAAGCTGAAATCACACCACTGCACTTCAGTCTGGGTGACAGAGACCCTGTCTCAAAAAAAAAAGAAGGTTGTATTTCTGTGATGTGCTTTAATAATGACTGTTATAATACCTGTTTGTATTTACAACCTATGCATGATAGAAGATTGCTTTTTTTTTTTTTTTACTTAAGGCAATTTTTAAAGTTTTTAAAAATAAAAATAAATTAGTTAGATTAGTTATAACAAGATTGGCAAAGTTGTGGAGAATTAACTATAACAAAGTTAATGAGAAAATTAAGTTTTATGAAATAGAGTAAATAAAACTTTCATATTATCACATACTATGTGCCAGGCTCTGTTCTAAGTACCTTAAACATCTTAGCTGATTTAATCTCCCCAAACCCTGTGAAGCAGGTATTATTATTGGCATATTTTTTAGATGAATGTGAGTCAAAGAGATATATAGGCAGTTTGCCCAGAGTTGCATAGCTAGTAAGTGGTATTTAAACTGGGCGCTCTGACTCCAGAGTTCATTCTTGTTTTGTTTTGTTTTGTTTTTAGAGGCAGTCTAGCATTGTCACCCAGGCAGGAATGCAGTGGTACAATCATGGCTCACTGCAGCCTCAGCCTCTTGGGCTCAAGCAATCCTCCCACCTTAGCCTTCCGAGTAGCTGGGACTACAGGCATACACCACCATACCTAATTTTTAAATTTTTGTAGAGATGGGTTCTCATGATGTGGCCTAGGCTGGTCTTGAAATCCTGGGCTCAAGAGATCCTCCTGCCTCAGCCTCCCAAAGAGCTGGGATTACAGGCATGAGCCACCGTGTCCAGCTAGAGACCATTCTTTAACCATTCTCTATACCAGGGTTTCTCCATCTCTGTACTGTTGACATTTGGGTTGGATAACTTTGATGTGGAGGGTTGTCCTATATAAGATTTTTATCAGCATCCACTAGATGCCAGTAGCACTAACTCCAGTTGTGACAAGCAAAAATGTCTCCAGACGTCAGATTTCCCCTGGAGGCAAAGTCATCCTTAGTTGCAAACCATTGCTCTGTACCAGTGCCATCAAATAGAAATATAATGCAAGTTGACCAGGCACAGTGGCTCACACCTGTAATCCCAGCACTTTGGGAGGCTGAGGTGGGTGGATCATAAGGTCAGGAGTTCAAGACCAGCCCAAGCAACATAGTGAAACCCTGTCTCTACTAAAAATACAAAAATTAGCCAGTCGTAGTGGCACACACCTATAATCCCAGCTACTCAGGAGGCTCAGGCAGGAGAATCACTTGAACCCAGGAGGCAGAGGTTGCAGTGAGCCAAGATCGCACCATTGTACTCCAGCCTGGGCAACAGAGCAAGACTCTGTCTCAAAAAAAAAGAAAAGAAAAAAGAAATATAATGCAAGCTACATATGTAATTTAAATTTTCTGCTATCCACATTAAAGAAACGAAACACATGAATTTAATTTCAATACTATATTTTTTATTTCAATATATACAAAATATGCTAAAATTATTAAATACTTTATTATCTTTTTATACTCTTTAAAATTGAGTGCATATTTTACATTTACAGCACATCTCAATTCAGACTAGCAATATTTCATGTGCTTGATAGCCACATGTGGCTACTGGTTACCATAATGGATAGTGTAATTTTTTTTTTCGAGACAGAGTCTTGCTTTGTCACCCAGGATGGAGTGCATTGGTGCGATCTTGGCTCACTGCAACCTCTGCCTCCTAGGTTCAAGCCATTCTCATGCCTCAGCCTCCTGAGTAGCTGGGATTACAGGCTCATTTTGGTATTTTTTAGTAGAGACAGGGTTCCGCCATGTTGGCCAGGCTGGTCTCAAACTCCTGACCACAAGTGATCCATGTGCCTCGGTTTCCCAAAGTTCTGGGATTACAGGCGTGAGCCACTGTTCCTGGCCTGGAAAGCATAAGTTTAAATTCATAAAATATCTTGTGGTTAAGGATTATATGACTATAAAAATTGAAGTTCACAAAAATGTTAAGTTCACAGTAAAATATCTAGGAAATAATGAGATAATTTATTTTGGACATTACTAATCAGAATTTCTATTTATGATGGTAATATATGGAATAAGTCTAGCAAGGCAGACCTTTCATTCAACCTCCTATTCTTTTTATTCTGACCATCCTTAGAGATGTCTCACTGGTCAAGATTCTCCAGCCATCTTTCTCACCTTTTATAACATGATGTTCAAAGCTAGTTCAGGGATTTACATACTCAAAAGTATTTGTCAAGACCTCAATGTTTCTCATTCCTTTGAAGTACCTGAGGTTGAAACATGCTTCCTTTGTTCTTAGCTTAACGTTATTCAAGGCTTAATTTAAAATATTTCAGGCTTATAATTTTTCATATCCATAATTTGCAATCGGTTTGGTGATTCCAGTAGATTTAACTTCTGCTCTAGGTCTCTGAAATATGCAGCTTAAGTAAAATTTTCTACTGAGGTATGTTCTCTCTTTTTTTTTTTTTTAACTGCTCCTTGCAGAGCAGGGCTAGCATGCCCAGAGCCAGCCAACTTATGATCTCTTGCCACAGATTTCCTCTCTCCTCAATATTTTTCAAACATTCAAAAGACTGATCATTCTTTTCTCATTCATTCGTTCATCATTTAACAGGCCATTATTTGTTTTTACTATGAGCCAGATATCAGGTTTTCAGACACAAATGAGGCTCAGCCCCTGCCCTGGTAGAGTTTACTTTGCCAGCAGGCAAAGAAGACTCAGAAACAAACCAAAGAACAACAATAAAAAAAAATAAAAACAGTAAAAAAAAAATCACAGTGTAGTAGCAGTTTGGGGGAAATTTTTGAAAACTCTTTGGAGGCTGCCTTTATTGCTACTCTAATGAAAGCCTTCCAGGAGTGATGACATCTGACTTGTGTCTTGAAGAAGGAGTATGGAATTCACCAGGCAGAGAAAAGGAAGTTTATCACCTGTCTTCTGATCGGGTCATGTTGCCAACCTTCCCTGGCTGTCCCATCAAGTTAGCTTGTCTACTGAAAGCACGCTCGTCTGTGGGCAGTAGGCAAGCCTGTCTGCTCCTGGGCCTGACGAAATGTTGCTCTCCTATCTACACAACCTGGTTTGCCCACATCCTCTTGATAAGTTAATTAGAATAGGAATCTAGAAGGATATCAGCATGCCATTTTTCAAACCTGGAGTAATTGGCGGTAATTTTCTTTTTGTGCTTTTCTGATTTTTCTTTTTTATTTAAACATTGAACATTCACTATTTAAGCAATCAGTGGAAAAGAAAGGTAAATTTTTAAAACTACGCAGTGGCTGAACTTTTGAGTTATTTTGAGTACAAAGATAGATGAGTCCTTTGGGAGACTTATTTACACTTAACATTTCTATTGTTGCTCTTAAGATCTCAAAATTCTGTTTCTCTCTGTAGTACTTTACTGATTTTTCTAGTGATGTTAGGATACAGTTCTTTTTAACACAACTAAGGGTATTTCTCCTCCAAATCTGCACTTGATGCACTATGGGTTTCCCTCCCTCTCTCTGGTGGGACCCTGTCCTCATTTCTTGGCCACCACACATTGAAGCTTTTAAGATATGTGAAAGAAGACATGCAAAGTATAGCCTCAAAATGTTGATTTCCTTTCCCTTATTTCATTACATCCATTTTCTTTTCTTGTTTGGATCAGAACTTTTGAACACAGATGTTCTTAGGGATCCTCCAGTCCAACACCCTTTTTTGTAGTTGAAGAAGTCCTGTCATGGAGCTAATGATAATTAATACTAATAGGTAACATTAAAGGAACACATGGTAAACGCCACACACTGTGCTAAGTGATTTATGAGTATTATCTCATTTAATCCCATGCCCTCATCAAGTAGGCATTCATATTTTCATTTTACGGAGAGGTAAATTAATAACTTGGTTAGGGTCATGTGGTTAGTAAGCAGCATAGCTGCAACTTTATAAATCAGCTTAATTTGAACCACTACATTGCTGTCTTAATGCTAGGCTTTGAGGGTGACATGAGTTTACTGCCTGGCTTTATTCTTGCAAGTTTATGTTAGAAGACATGTCCCTATCCCCCAGCTGGGAGAGCTATGCCCTTCAATTTTACCTTGTTTGAGATGACAAAGGTTAAATCCTGAATCTCTGCCTCTCATACCTACAGGCCACAGCAAACCGAGATCCCAGCTCATCAGCAAACAAATGAGTTGTGTCCCACTGGTGGGTCTGAAGAGAATGAAGAGGAAACGAAAGCTAAAGAGGAGGAGGAGGCCATGGACTGTATGTCTCATCCCAAAGATAAATTAGCTCAATCCCAGAAGAGAGTAGCTCAGCTGATTAAGGAAAAAATGGTAAAACAAAAAACTCACTAAAATTTTGTTTCCATTTAAAAGTATGTTCACGATTAGTGAAGCTTTGCCTTAAATACAGATTGAAGCATATGAAACAGAGGAAGGTATCATACTTCTTTGTGAGTAGGAGTAAACAAAGCAGAGCATACTTAGGTAGGCAGCCCACCTTCTGGTTCCATGCATGATTCATAGTCAGTTCCTCCTTGGGGCATTCGTGCTCCTAGCTTAAACTAAAAATTAGGCTGGGTACAGTGGTTCATACCTATAATCCCAGCACCGTGGGAAACTAAGGCGGGAGGATATCTTGAGGCCAGCCTGAGTGACGTAGTGAGAACCTATCTCTACAAAATATTAAAAATCAGCCGGGCATGGTGGAGGGAGCCTGTGGTGCCAAGCTACTTGGGAAGCTGAGACAGGAGGATAGCTTGTGTCCAGAAAATTGAGGCCATAGTAAGCTGTGATTGTACCACTGCATTCCAAGCTGGGTGACAGAATGAGACCTTGTCTCTAAAAAAATAAAATTAAATTAAAAAAAACCTAAAACTTATAATTTGGTTATTTTTGTTGCTGTTACCTTTAACTTAAAATTAAAATATTTATATATATCCTGGAAGGTTTCAGGATGCTATATTTTAGGTAGCAAAAAGGCTGGGATAGTAAGGCAGGTGGTTGAGAATAGGTAGCCAGGCAGGTCTAAGCTCAGGCCCGGAAAGGATATGGGTCAGATGCCTTTGGTTACAGTGGAATCATAAACAAAACAAAGGGCCCGAAACAGGAGGTAGCAGCAGAGGTCAAAGAGTGCAAGTATGCGTTTCTAAGAGCAAGTCAAAGACTTGTCAAAGATCTCAGAGCAGATGTGTAAGCATGAGTGTTCAAGATCCAGGAACCTGAGACAGCAAGACATCGACTCTCATTATTAGAACACAGGCACCAGCCTGTTTCCAGAGCATGAGTTATCAACAGAAGAGTTTGTACCTTGACTTCCTGACTTCTCCTAGTCAAGGGAAAAAAGTAATCTAGAGAGGTTTTATTTTCTATCATTTGCCTCTGAGGTATCTCTCTAGATGGATATTTGTAAATTTATCTCTGTAAATGACCCAAGACCTTGCAAATGGTAATCCTCCTGGCCTGGACCCATTAGTGATTCACAAATCCAGCCTAGAAGGATCATTTCTAAAAACAGACAAGTACCATCTGCCGTGTAGTGTAAGTGGGGGTTTTTAAGTATTGAAAACTCCTTGGCCAGAGTGGATAATGACAAAGATTTAGATCTTAGGAGCGAAATCTAACTCAAATGCCAAACTCATCAAATTGTATACAATGAACATGTATAGTTCTTTGCATATCAGTTATATCCCAATAAAGCTTTTTTTTTTTTTTTTTTTTTTTTTTTAATCTAACCCAACCCAGTACTCCTAGCCCTGAAGGGTAGGGGATGCCACATCAGCAGCAGTAGTGCTGGGGTGACATCTGGAGCCCATATTGGTTGTCCCCATTTCTCTAAGTCAAGGAGCTCGAGGATAAATATACAATGTCCAGAGCTAAAGCTTTGGTCTCTCATTCTAGTGATTTTTTGAAGGTGTGATACTTCTGCCTCAAAAGAGATCTTAGTATTTGCTATGGTCAGTCCCTGGTGAATTTTCAAAAATGCTAACTAAATGGATGTTTGGAAGCATCAGGGGAAGTGTCCTTCTACCATTGCTTGCTTCTGTGTATTTGAGCAGGGGGCATAATAAAACATGAAGCTGGGTAGAAGATAGGAATCAGGAAGGAGTGTATTCCTTGGAATCACCTACGGTACTGTTGTATCTTACATTACTCTTTAAATGGGTTACTTTAATTACCTGTGCATTACTCTTCAAATGGGTTACATTTAGATTGTACTTAACAACATTGAATCATTTTTTTTCCTTACGGTAACGCCATGAGGTAGATAATACAGGTTTCTGACCCTCATAAATGGAAGCTGAGATCAAGGTGACCTTCCCCAAAGCAACACAATCAGTAAACAAACGTTAGAGCTATGGCTGAAACTTTAGATTTTTGATTCCTTGAAGTGTTATTTTCCCTTTACCAAGAAAAAAATGCCTGACCATATTGACTAGTGCAGCCAATAATGACTGTGTTTGTAAAGTCACTGAAATGTATGACTTGAAGATGCAGTTCTGTGATTTCTTAGAGAGCTCTACATGTCAGTTCTATAGGGTAGGGGGACTGTTTCCCCAACTCCATCTTTATCCTTGCTAAGAGATGATTATTCAGCAGGTTACACCTGTGTGCACTGGGCAGATAACAATGAACATAAGGAATAAACTTCTGTCCTCAAAGGACTTATATTCTATTTGGGGAGATAATAGACAAACAAAAATAATGCCTAATACAATATCAGGTAGAAGTAAGTGCCATGAAGAAAAAATAAAATAGGTAATGGGGTATTGAGTGATGAAGTGGAGTTTATTTTTTAGATAAGCTGGCCAAAAAAGGCCTGTTGATAAGAGAAGTGAAAATGAAATGAAAAAGTGAATGACATGGAAGGGTGTACCAAGTGCATGGAGGGAGCAGCACATGCACAGCCCTGCACTGGAAGTTATTTGGCGATGTTCAGGAACCACCACTAGTCAGTGAATTTTAACAGACGAAGTAGGAGGAGAGAGTGGTAGAAAATGAAGTTCAGAGGTGATTGGGGTTGGATCAGATTATGCAGAGCCTTGGAGGCCATAGTAAGGACTTTGAACTGTGTTAAGAACAAAAAGTGGGAAGCTGTTGGAGGATTTTGAACAGGAAAGTTATGATCTAATTTACATCTTAATATTATACTGGCACATAAAATATGTTTAAAAATCCATAAGTTTCTAATAATAATCAATAAGCTATTTGGTCATAATTAGAGGATGGTAGTGAACAAATATGTTTTTCTGAAAGCTATTAAAGAAAGTACAAGGATAGGCCATGTGTCCTGCCTTTCCAATATGAACTGTACTATTGGGTAACAAAAGAGTAGAGGAGGAGAAATTCTTCTTGTAGAATTATTCGAGATAACGTATGAAGGAGGATTGATAGGATTAGTTTATTAGCATTTTATAATCTTTTATTAATTTTCCATGTAGTTTTCCTAATATCTGAAAAAAAAAAAAACCAGATAGTAGACGTATTCTGCTGGAAGACCATACCATTAGCCATGAAGTCATTTTGTAAAAAAAAGAATTCACAGCTAAAATTAACCATACTTCTAAATCCAACTGCTAATATAAAGGTAGAACAGAGAATGGAGGGACATGATGAGACACCACGAGGACACAGTCATCAAAATTTATGTCTGTGGGAAATACTAGACCAAATGTCTCAGCTTTTTCAAATAATTTATAAGAAAAAGAATTAGAAATGGTGTAATAATCTTCAGTCTCTATAGATGAAAAGAGACTGAAGAGACTGACCTCATAGTGTAGACAGTCAGACTATTTAAAAAATTAGACGTCTATGATTAGATATTTGATTTTAAGGAATTATTGTTATATTTTGGTGAGATAATGATATATTGTTATTTTTCTAAGTCCATATATTTTAGAGGTACTTATGAAATGTTTACAGAGGCAACAACAGAATGTCCGATTTGCTTCAGTTAAGGTAAGGATGGGTGGATGAGGGGTCTAGATATGAAACAGGATTGGCCAGGAGTAGATCACCGATCAGCTACATGATTCATTCTTCATGCTGTCTATATTTATATATTAATAAATTTTTTATGATAAAAGGTTAAAAGAAGTAACTCTGGCTAGAAAGTATTATGTAGAAAGTAGACTACAGTCTACTTTCTAGCCCCCTGCAGGGGCCAGAGAGGAAGCAGTTGGAAGGACTGCTGTGGCCAGCCAGGTAAAAGGTGAAGGTAGCCGGGACTAGATACTCATGGCAGAAATGAGCAGAAGAGCTTGGTTTTAGGATTCAGGGGGAATGTGGACCCAACAAGACCTGATGAATTGGACACAGGATGAGAAGAAAAAAGTAGAGAAAAGAGATGACAGGTAAATTCAGTCCTGTGTTCCAGTGACAAGTCTATGGGCTAGAGACTTCTCCTCCTTTCCAAAAAATATAATCACTTCTGTACTCTACAGAATACTCAAGCAAACAAGGAGCTGATTCGATGTGTCATCCTTTCTCGGATTATTTTTGGGGACCATCACTGGAAATGTGCACGAGCTCTGACCAACCTAGCCTATGGTTACTTGACATTGAGAGGTACTTGGTTTCCCCAGCTGGGTTTGGGTAGACAGCCTTTGAAGGCTGAGCCCCCACAACCTCAGTGAGGGTGGGCATGACTAGGAGGGCCCCTTCTTGCCCCTAGCTCACACATTATCAGAAAGGAAAGTCCATGGATGAGGGAAACAGTATGGCAAGGATCTTAGTAATAAAGATAATGATGATCCTGACAGTTATTGAGTATTTAGCATATGCCAAACTAGTCTCATTAGTCCTCACAATATTCCTTGGAGGGAGATACTGTTATTATCCTCAGTTTATGGATGAGGACACTGGGGCACCGTGGGCAAAGACAGTATCAGGGGTTCTAGCCATAGGACAGTAGGGGAAGGACTGGCAGGGATGTACACTCACATCAGGGAGGCAGACCCAATAATGGGACTTGAATTCCAAAGGTAGAACTCAAGTTACTGGAAGGTTTGGCTTAGTGAAAGGCAGGGAGGACCCTCATCCTAGAGAAATGGTACTTCTGGAAGGTACTCTAGTATAAGGGAATAAGACAGGAATCTGTTTGCTAAAACTGGAACCCAAGTGAAAGTTCTATGAGAGTGGAAACTTTGTAGTAGAGGCTGAATAAATACTGGGTGATACACTGAGGAGAGAGCACATTTCTGGAGCCGGGGACATAGCTAGCTCAAGGCTCTCTGTTCCTTGACCAGACATGTCCCCCTGTGTAGACTGCATACATTTCTACCGTGGAACTCATTGTACTGTGCTCATATATGCTTTAAATGCTTCTGCCTCTGACATCGAAGCTCCCTCAGGGAAGGGACTGGTCTCATTTGATCTAGAGCAGTCCCCTGGACACAATATGGATCAGCATATTACTGCTTAAGAACTGAGCCCCTGGCCTAGGGCTTGTTCAAGTACCTCTGGGACCTCAGTCTGAAGGGGGCCTAATTTGTAATACAAATTAAGTGCTTTATGGGCTTAAGTGATTTGAAGGCTACAGGATAAGGGAAGCAATATTCTCGGGCCATAATGAGGCTAGATATCAGAAAGCAAAGCTTTTGAAAAAATTAAAATTGAATTCACTTCTCAGTTATTAATCCCAGAATATATTCTCCTTCTTAGGGCTGTATAGGCCCTTTTACACCCATTTGTTTTTAATGCAAGTTTAGATTCTTCATTGATATGGCAGGATCATGAGTAACCAACATCACAGCATTAGGGCACTGATGCTGTGGGTCACAGTGGGGGCACAGTGAGGCCCTTTTATGCTTTAAGAACACATGTATTGTGTTCTGAAAGAAGGTGCTGTGGCTAGGAAGAGGAGAACGTCCTTACTTACAGGAAGAGCAGGCAGCCACTTCTGTAAGATTTGAGAGTCACCAGGAAGGATCTTCCCCTAGGGGTTCCATCCTTCTTTAATTGAAATCTCTCTATTCCCCTGAGACTGATTTTCTCAAAAACTTACTGCCTTCATGATTAAAAGTCAAATTTAGGGATTTGCTGCTTCAGTACTTACAGAGTTCTTGTTATAAGCCTGGTGGTACTTGTGCTCAATGCTGGGGATACATAAATCAATACTGGTGGTCCCTATGCTCTAGGACATACAGGGGTCTTATGACAGATACCATTCTAGAAGTAGGAACAAAATTCTGAGGAGTACACATGAGGTAGTTCAGTGGTTTTGCGATTGAGGAAAGTCAGGGAAGGCTGCAGAGAGAAGGTAATATTTGTCCTGTCTTTGAAGGATGAGAATAGGTTTATCAAGTAGATTTTTAAATTTTTTATATTTTTATTTTTGTAAAGATGGGGTCTTGCTATGTTGACCAGACTGACAGACTGATCTCAGACTCCTGGCCTCAGGTGATCCTCCCACCTCAGCCTCCCAAAGTGCTGGGATTATAGGCGTGAGCCATGGCACCTGGCCCCCAAGTAGATTTTGAGGGGAGAAGCAGAGAGTACAAAATTGGTCCTTTATACGTGTTGATCTAAGGCATAGGAAGTGAGAGCGGGACACTTTATATAAAACTCCTTACACAGAATATTGCAGCTTCTCTATAGATCCAGGGGGTTAGGATAAGACAGAAGACACCTTAGGACAGATAGCTCATGCTTGGAAATGGGAGTGAAAAGGTAATTTGGGTCCAGATACCAGCGAGTTTGGCGAGTTATTAAAAGGTGTGAAGTGAGGTGCTAATAATCAAGCTTATGTTATAAAATGAAAGACTCGAGGATGGGTTGGACTGGTAGAGAAAGAAGAGGTGAAGACCAGTTAGGCCATTATCCTGCCCAGATGAGAGTCAATGAGGGCATTGGCTATGGCCATAGGAATGCAGAAAAGATAACCTAAAATGTAGAATTGGTGACATTGAGTGCCCCTTTCAGTATGGAGTGGGAAGGACAGGGAAGAGTTGAAATTGAAGCAGGCATGACCTGGACAATTAACTGAAATAGAGAATTAAAGGGAAAGACCAAGTGGTGGAGTGTATTAGTCTGTTCTCATGCTGCTAATAAAGCCATACTCAAGCCTGTCATTTATAAAGAAAAAGAAGCTTAATGGATTCACAGTTGCACATGGCTTGGGAGGCCTCACAATCATGGTGGAAGGCCAAGGAGGAGCAAAGACACATCTAACATGGCAGCAGGCAAAAGAGTATGCAGGGGAACTGCCCTTTATAAAACCATCAGATCTCGTGAGACTTATTCACTGTCACAAAAACACCATGGGAAAACCCTGTCCTCATAATTCAATTACCTCCCATGACATATGGGGATTATGGGAGCTACAATGTAAGATGAGATTTTGGTGGGAACATGGCCAAACCATATCATGGAGGAAGGGGGAAGAAGCTACTGAGTTTGGTTTCTGACAGGCTGGATCACATCTGTTCAGTAGGCAACTGGAAGTAGGTCTAGAGCATCGGTAGGCAACTGAAATGTTCAGTAGGCAACTGAAACCAGGTCTAGAGCTCAGGAAAGATGTTAGTTTGGGAGAGATGAGCACATAGGAGCCCGTTGAGGCCAAAGGAGTAGATGAGCTTGATCAGAAGTAGTGTGTAGAGGCTGGATGTGGTGGCTCATGCCTATAATCCCAGCACTTTGGGAGGCTGAGGCAGGTGGATCACTTGAGGTCAAGAGTTTGAGACCAGTTTGGTCAACATGGTGAAACCCCGCCTCTACTAAAAATACAAAAATTAGCCTATATAGTGTATGCCTATGGTCCTAGCTACTTGGGAGGCTGAGGCAAGAGAACTGCTTGAACCCTGGGAGGTGGAGGTTGCCGTGAGCTGAGATCACACCACTGTACTCCAGCCTGGGTGACAGAGGGGGAAGAGAACAGAGGACTGAAGACTGGAGAGCAAGAGCTTTAGGAAAGACGAAGGGGAAAAGGGGCCAGCAAAGGAAATAGAAGACTCAGGAGGAGCTGTGTCATGGAAGCCCCTAGAGGATTTTGAAAAGAAGTACAGTGTGGTTTCAGTAGTTCAGATGGTGGAGGAAGGTCAAATAAGGTAAAGGCTGAGGAGAGACCCATGGATTTGGCAGCTGGTAGATCATTTCAACTTGGTTTGGTAGAGACAAGTACACTCCTTGGGAGTCTACTTGAGGTGATGAACTTGAACTGGAGAGGAAGGCATTTGAACGGGAGATTTCTCTGAGCCTAGAGCAGAGCCAGATGCTGCCTCGTCTGTCTTGCATTGAAGATGACTAGAGTAGATCTAGAAGGAGGTTGGCCTAGATTTTCTAAAATCAACTCCTTCCATAAGAGCCACAAATTACCTTTGAGTTTTGCTTTTCCAATTAGACTCCAAGTTAAGTCAAGATAAGTAAACAGGTTATATCACAAAAGATGGTGATAAATCCTTTTCTCTCTAATCAAAGTTTTTCTTGCTGCATGAATACAGAACTAAGTTGAGGCAATAAGTTGGAGGAGAAACAAGTTTTACCATTGGTAAGAGTTTTTTTGTTAGTTTTACCTAGATGGGAAAAACAGCCTGCTGGTCAGGATGAAGTTCCCACGTGGTATAGTGGAGGCTAGACTTGAACTCAGATTTTCTGACACCAGCCTAGAGTTTTTTTTAGAATAGGTTATGACTGTAAGCTTTCTTTGAAAATAGCCCAGTGCCTCTTATTTCAGTCATAGTTTGGTTTCTTCACTTAAGCTTTTATTTCAGTTTCTTCACTTAAACTTTTTTAGTGTCTGGTCCATGGAATAAAATAAGTAAGGCTTTGAAAAATGGCAGATCTTCACAAGAGATGAAGCGCTTGCTCAGCTCCACTTGGTGGTGGTGTCATTCATCCTTAACTGCTTTAAAGTGGACAGAATATATGAGCTGGCCTCCGTGTAGGCGGATATGCGTGTCTGTGTGCGTTCATGCTTCACTGCACCCATACGTGTTTTATAGTCATCAACCCTGCTTTCCACGTTTCACTCTGAGCCTTTTCCAGCAGCCAAACGCTGATTTCTCTCAATAAACAGTCTCTCAGTGAGTATTTAGTGAGAAACTTGAATGTGAAATGCCGTGAACACTTTGGGAAATGTAAGGTAAAAAAGCCCTCAAAGATTTTACAACTTAGTGTGGTAGGTGAACTACCTAGAGACATAACTATGAGAGAAGGCATTATAAGGTAAATGCAATGTAATTGATTTAAATAACAGGCTTAGGGAAAGTTGGGTGAAATCATTTCTGGCTGAGATGATAGATTCAAGGGGGAGGTAGATTCAAGGGTTGTAAAAAAAGGAGTAGGGTTTGAGGACGTGGAAGAAGGGGTGGGCATTTCTGATGAGGAGGAAGGTGTGGGCCAAGACATGAGGAAGGAAAGTGCAACATCTGAGGAGCAGCAGTAAGCAGCCTTGTCTGGTTAAGGTTAGGACTGGTAAGATGAACCTAAAAAGGAGAAGGGTACATTGGGCAGGCCATGATGTGGTTTTAAATACAAGCTAAGGAATTTGTCTTGTGTTTGATGGCAAGAAGCACTATTAGAGATTTTCCAGCAGGATGATAAAAATATCAAAGTGCGCTTTTGGTAAG